TGGAAATCTGCATTCAGTTGGGTAAATCTTTCCTTTTCACCTTTGCCTTTCACTTTCCTTCTTTCTTCAGCTATTTGTAAAGCCTCATCAGACAGCCACTTTGCTTTCTTGCATTTCTTTTTCTTTGGGATGGTGCTGATTGCTGCCTCCTGTATAATATCAAGAACATCCATCCATAGTTCTTCAGGCACTCTGTCTATCAAATCTAGTCCCTTAAACCTATTCTTCACCTCCACTGTATATTCATAAGGGATGTGATCTAGGTCAAACCTGAATGGCCTAGTGGTTTTCCCAAGTTTCTTCAGTTTAAGCCTGAATTTTGCAATGAGTAACTCATGATCTGAGCCACAGTCAGTTTCAGGTCTTGTTTTTACTGACCGTATAGAGATTCTCCATCTTTGACTGCAAATGTTATAATGAATCTGATTTTGGTGTTGCCCATCTGGTGATGTCAATGTGTAGAGTCCACTAGAGGTGTGCAAAAAACCTGGAACTGAAAAATATTGGTATTCTCAAATATTCCCAAATACCAGTATCAGTATTGTATTGGTATTTGGGTAAATATTCGGGAAACCTGGTTTTATTCCGCTCCATTATACCCTATGAAGACTGTCCTCATAGGGTATAATGGAGAATTTCACTTGCTGAGTTGTGCCGTGAGTTCAGAAGGCATTTAAACTTTAACTTTAAAGTTAAACATTAAACTTTAAAGTTTAAATGCCTTCAGTTTGCTCAATGAGTTGCACTGCCGCTGCGACCCAACTCGGTGAGTGAACTGAATACGCTTAATGTGAACTGAAAGGCATTTAAAGAGACCACCTTCTAGCCATGCCTTCTAGCTGCGCCCACATAAAAGCCAAATAATATTGGGCATGAGCCCAAAATAGGGCATTTGGGATTCAGAATTTTGGGGTGGTTCCTTTTATCCAGGGATATCCCCCTTCATTTGCCCTGTTGGGAAGGTGATTGCGGGGCATGGCCAATCCCAGATATGTGGTCTCAGGGGGTTGGTTCGAGACATCTCACCATGTCCTTCCTTTTGCTGCCTGGTCATGAACTCCACAACATTCACATTTGTTCCCACTCCACTAGGAAGGTGACTGCAGGGCAACCTATCACATATCCAGGGCATTCAGTGCAATGCAGGTCAGTGGTTAGTTGGTAGCCTCCACACTGTCAAGGTGAGACTGCAGGCCAGGCTTCCTTCCAGGGTGTTGTGGGGGGGGGTCAGTCATTGAGTGACCACCAACAGCAGTGACCTGGACCAGTCTGTCATGTAAACTTCTATGTGGTCATCCTTCTCTTCTTTCCTCCTTGCTTGCGTGCATGACTCCCTACCTTGCCCCGGGCCCACAAGGTGACTGCAAGACACCAGCACAGGAACTTCTATGTGGTCATCCTTCTCTTCTTTCCTCCTTGCTTGCGTGCATGACTCCCTACCTTGCCCCGGGCCCACAAGGTGACTGCAAGACACCAGCACAGGAACATTCCTTCCTGACCTCCCCAAGTCCAATCTTCACCAAACTTGGTGGGCAGGTAGAAGAAAGTCAGCTGGAGATGCCCTGTGATTTTGGAGCATCTACGACCCTGGGTGCTGCCCAACCATGTCCCAAACTTCCCAAACCGGTTTGGTTCAGCA